TTGTAAGACGAGCGTATAACTATTATAAACTAGTTACAGTGTGTAATTACATTTTTATTATTAATTGTATTCACCCATTCATTCTCGCATAATATCGTTTTGTACACCGCACAAAACGTTTCGATTTACAGCCCGTGAACATGACGTGTCTGTGAGAAGACGCCGAAATTAAAATTATAATAACAATAATAATAGTGGAATACTGTACGCAACGTTATATTCGGCGGTCGAGAGAAATTCGGAATAAAGAACTATGCATATTATATAGTTATTATAATAATGATATATTATGTATATAGTTACGTGAAGCATTTTTAGGTAGGTACCTAATGTACTATACATGTGACCATGTCTGCATGTCGTTTACTTTTTAATTAACAGTTGTTGTACCAATTATGATCAACACGGGTGACAAATATTAGACATTAAAATATAGCAGAAAGATACCTAACTAATTGTTAACTATGTTTTTGCAATGGAAGAAAACACACATCATAATATTCATAGGTATATGAACATAATATATGACTTAAATTCTGACGTTTCGTATAGCAAATGACAAATCGCATGTTCATAATATTACTAGATAGGTATTAAAAACAATTTACAATATTAACTTATTAACGTTGATAGAATTAATCACATTTTATAGGTACTAAACATGCACAAGGATCAAAAGTAAAAAACTGTTTATATTCGGTTGTCGAGACGTTTCGAAGACTGCAAAGCAATGTCAACGCTATGAAATCAAGTAGTCTATACCTACGCTTTTATTATAACCGGTTCTTTGATATTTGATATTATAATAATATACGTATGTTATTGAATTTCAAAAATTTTACTCAGCGTTCAGCAATTACCTATTTAACATAGAATCGAACGTCAATCACAATCGTAATTTTATTCTTCGTGAAATCGTCCTAAATAATGCGTTAAAATGTATAATTTTGTTGTACACTCAAAAAATATATTTTAATATGACATAAAATTAGGTACGTTGCTAGTGGTTTTTTTTAAGTTTTTTTCTTTTTTTTTAAGTAGTTGACGATTATGCCATGATTATTTTTCTAAAAAATGTATTTATACCTACATTAAAAAATAAACTATTCGGTATAATATTATTATACAATGTACGACATAATATATTATATGTTTCCTTAAATCATAAAAATAAATATGAGTACCCCTAGCTTAAAGTATAATCATTGAACATAATAGCTCTGGAAAATATTAATAATTATTTTATGAATTCTTTATTTTTAAACTTTTTATGAATAATTTATGAAAATAAATACATCGTACCTTTTTAACCAATTTAAAATGTTGAGCGTTTTTTTTTTCTGCATTTATTTATGTTCATAAAAATAGTATACCCAGAGATAATACGAATACCTAATTCTTTTAAAATATATAGCACATTGGTGTAAAAATTCTACTCCGAAATAGAAATTTGTCGCAAACGTTTCTACAATATTAGTGTAAAATATAATACCTAAAACTTCTAGTGTATGCGTTGATAGTATTTCTTAATATGTAATATCTAACATACTAGTAATCTAATATGTTATTGAACTAAATAATAATACAAACATCGATTGCATATATTATTATGCGTATCAGTTTACCACAGTTTACTAACGAATCGAGTGCGAATTGGTACTCATTTGTAGCACATGCAGACGTCGAATAGAAAATCATTTTTGCCCACGGCCCACGGGCGATTATCTATAAAACGAAATCCTTCAAAGTTCAACTCAGTTTAAGCGAGTGATTTTTTTTTTTTTTTTGCAAACAACGCTATAATAACGCTATTACTGCAGCTTTCTATTCCGCACCCGGCCCGGTAGTATGGAGTATATCTACCTATAGACACATTCTGGCAATCCCACACCAGATGATTGGCCCGGAGCCCCGAGGAGACCGAAAACGATGACGTTCGCCCATTAATTATACGTGAGCACAATAATAATAACATGATCGATATAATACGCGACGTCTAAGAACGGGTTTCGTTGTACATATAATATATACGCACACATAGAAGAGTTGTGATTTTTCGACTGGAAAGCCGGAAGAACGTGACCTGACTCGGCGCGCGAGGTAGTATATCCGGCGAGGGAAACGCAGAAAACAACCCCCGATTGTTGATTATTTCGTGAATGGCAAATTACGGGAAACGGAATGGAAAACAACGAGACGGTATATGGGAACAAAAAAAAAAAAAAAAATATAACAATAATAATAATAATAGAGTAAAAGAAGAAAGAAAACCACTATATATACTACCCTTATTTCGTATGCTACTCGGCGGCTCCGGCTAATGCGACAAGTTTTCCCCCGGATGACGACGGGGGTAACAAAGCGAAGGAATGTGATTGAATATTTTCCAATGAGACATATATTCACCTCACATTCTGTTATTATCGTTTATAACCATTGTAGTAGGTATACGAGTAGGGGGTGTGTGATTTCTGATTTTAACACAACGACTGACCTTTGAAATACAGTCATATTGTTTCTCTCAATGCCTACTGCAGTGTTCAAACAAAATGCTCTGATAGCTCATTTCCAATGCCATTTCCATATTATTATATATTAGGCATAATGATAGTAATTATTGCATTAAGTAAGAGTAGTAAGACGCATAAGCTACGATTCAATTTATTTTGAATCATGGTGGTGGTAGTTTCTAAAACGATTTGTGTTGCTCATAAATAACATACTGAAATTTGAAAGTTATGCTTGCTGAAAATATGATTTATGGTTTTCTAAAACAATAGTTATTAAAACTTTGTGTAAAAAAATGTAACTTAATAAAAAAAAAATAAATATTTAAATATAATATAATATGTTATATATAAATATATTAGATATTTACGACACATGTCACAACATAATACGTAAACTTTCATAATAATCTTTTTTTAATAAAAACAATTCAAAATGTATATAGGACACACGTCTAAACACTAAATTATATGATCTACTAGAAATATAAATCTGATTTTAATTTATATTGTAGTACCTAGTTTATAGTTGATGAATAATTTATCTGAAATAAAATATATTAAAATAACGATATTTTTCTTGGTCGAAAATTTAAAAACATGATAAGTAATAACCTAATGACAAAATACGACTCTTTTATATTTCATTTTATTTTATTATTTGAAAGATACAGAAAAAAAATATAATCAGTATTCAGTGTTATATAATATTGTACTTTGGTAACAGAAACTGTAAATCGTATAATTTATCTCAAAGGCCAAAGCCTAAGGCAAATAAATAATAGTCTCATTTCCTTATAACCCAGGTTCAAACGTCTACAGGACCCATAGGTTCATATTGAATGAATTGTATTGTATTAACGTACATAAACATTATGAATATATATATATATTATGATTGCCTCTTATTATTTTTCATGGTTTATGATTTCGCTGTGGGTATTCCTTTTACTAGCAATAACTTTCTTAAGAATGAAACATCAAAGTTTAAGTTTAAATAGGTATTGTAAACACAATTTAAATTAATATTTTGTGAATATCTTATTAATATATTATATTTTAATATTTGTCCAGATAACATGTAAGGATAGTTATTCTTATTTGTTTTGTTATGTTTCGTGCGGTCGTAAAACAAATTTAAATTTGAATTAACCATTAAAATCGATAGAAATAACCGTAACAAATATATTACATTATTCCTTTCTAAGTATTGAATATCCATTCGATAAGTAATATTAATAAAGTTATTATTTAAACAACCTTATCTGATATTATCGTTATTATTTTAATGAGTTGTAATACAATCATTTGTCAACAAACCAAATTACCTACGATGGTAATAAGTACCATTATAAAAGGATAAGTCACGCTCGAAAGCGGAAATGAGATCTGTGCGATTAAGAAAATATTCCGTTCTAGACGCATTAACATTTATCTGATTTAAAATATTGCATTATTTTTCATCGTTTTTCTTGACTTACGAACATCCCCACTAAATATTATTGCTAAGGAATGATTCCTAAGAACTGTGTCTTTAAAATAAATAACGTAATTAGACCGAATAATTTATTATTCAGTAAATATTAATTAAAATTAATTTATTATGAATAATATTATAGTAGGTATATACAATTTTACAATTGTACGCAAATATTTTATACGCAAGCCTGCAGTGTTTAATAAATTGATAATTATTACACTTTTATTTTTATCTAAAAATTTCATTTTTATACCTATACTACAAGGGAATAATGAATAGAAACCTATGGCTATATTATAATGTTGTGTATTATAAACGATAGTCTTTAAAAATACAATATATTCACAGGTAGTTCACCTACATGAATTATTTTATAGTTATCCAGATTATATCTTAGAAAATAGTAATATTTTTTATTTTTTATTTTCAAGAACAAAATAATTATAATCATAGAAAAATTTACAATACCTAGCATTCTTTATTTTTTTAAAAAAACACAATTTAAAAATGAATTGCATTTCTTAATAATTCCTCAGATATTTTCTTGTTCATAATATAGGTAGTCATCTACAACACTATCGTAAAGTACTGCTGTAATAGTGTAATGTATATAAATGCCACTATATCATACATGAATAGTGAAAACTCGAAATGTATACTGTTCTCGGTGAGCCACAAACCCATCCCTTCAAACAATTGTATTTGTAAAAAAAAATTCGGCGTGTAACGTATAATATTATTAGTTACTGATGAGTATCGATTTTGGCTTTTTTTCTCTTCTTACGAGCCACTTTGAATCAATTATCTAAATTAGTATTCTCATTACACTCGCGCACTGCACGGGTAAAGTTTAATTTTCTAAATAATCACATTCGTCCCAAATGACAGTGTCTGGCCCCCGACGGTTTTCGTCAATATAATAATAATCTATGGTCGTGTACATACTATGGCGTTGTAGAGGATAGCTTTATACCATAATATGGGTGAGCGTTAACTGTACAGCGATGGTTTACCTGTGTCAATCGGAAATCCATGGTGTATCCTTTTGCAACGAGGCCACGCGTGTGTATCGACAACTCTGCGTTTACGGTGGCGGGCTGTAGGGTCGAGTCCCGAACTTTGAAGCTTTCGGATGGAAATTTCTTTGAAAATTTATTAAAAAAATAATGACGACCGACTGAATATCATCCGGATATTATTACCCGAAGAGTTCGGACGACGGTAAAAAAGCGCGGTCGCACTCGCCACGACGATCTCGCGAGAGAGAGAAATTGTTGTTTATTAGGCGGCCGTTGGTGCGCGGTCGGTCATCGCGCGATCGGAGACATAATGAACCGGACCCGACGGTCGGGAAGGCTATTTATACGACGGCAGCGATCGAGACGGTACGGGCCCGACGAGCGGACCATCCGGTGGCCCGAGTGGGAGGCCCGTGTATGCATACATATATGTATATAAATTATCGTTATAGTAATAGCCGCGTTTAACGGACGGTATCCACTGCGACCAGGCCCGACGTGGTAGAGGTAACCACGCTGCCCGCAGGGGAGTCGATCCGGCTCGGCGGCGGACGAAAGAGAAAGTTTGTTTTGGGCGCGCACGTGTGTGTGATCCGATGCGTTAGTATGTGTGTAAATTATCTTGAGTACGCGTTTGTGCTCAGACAGAGTGTGTGTGAGTGTGTGTGTGTGAGAGAGAGAAGAAAGCGCGGGAGGATGCGCGGCCTTCGAAGACCTCCCCGGACGATGACCTTGAACCGGAGCGCCAGTTTTCAGTGGTACATCTTCGATCTCTGGAAGTCTAGGGTTTCACGGACGTGATTATTATATCGATCGACTATTATGATATTGTAGCCGACATACCGCAGCTATTAAAAAAAAATATATTACTATCGTCCAAAAAATCTGAAGCAATATTTATACGAACGATTTTCGATGAATTTTTTTATTTTCGAGGATAGTCGAGCACGCGATATCACCATGACAATGCAGGCCATCACGTATTTTTTTCAATATAATCCGATACCTTCCAATACGAATATTGTAAAAATATTATGAGTGGTAAAAAATAATAAGTTTCAGCTTAATGCAAGTAGGTTTTCAAAATATTAAAATATTATTGTTTGTTATCAGTCTAGGGCTCGGATTCAAATTCCCCCAAAACAAATGTTTTGGTCACAGCATGGAGTGCATTGAAACTCATTTGTAGCTTGGAAAGCATCGTACTATACATTCCAAAAAAAAAAATGTAAATGCATTGAAATCCGAGCCCATTAGATAGTTACATTGCAGAGTATTATAGAAATAATATGATGTTTGATATTCACGCGATATGTTATAGGATTTGCAAGAAGGTAGAAATATATTAATAATATTTAGGTATAAAAATAAAAAACCAACGCGTGGCCATGAAACTTCTAACTTAAAAAAAAAAATGATTTCAATCGGTGCTCGATCACTAAAGTTCTTACTACGACCTACCCATCTATACTTTAGGTGCTCATGACTTTATTAAGTTAAAAGTATTTTGTTTTAAGATAATGTTAAGAAAATATATTGCCTATTTTTAACGACGTAAAAACATCATTATATTATAAGTTATTACTAATATTTTAAGAGAATATTATTCTGATTGATGTAGTAATAAATAATAACTAATAACCAAATTATAGTAAGGAAATTCATATGTTTAGAACACACAAATGTATACATTATTATATGACGTAAGAAATTTACCTATTTCACAAAATAATTTTAATAATATATATTATTTATTCAAATTTCCGTTAAAATTTGCATTGTGCATGAAAATGATTTTTGTATATAAAATTACCAGCACTTAGATGAGTGTAGCTGTGTAAGCTATACTTTTATTATTAAACGTATAGTTTACCCCCATAATTTACATGTCGTCCAAGAAATACTTAACAAATTATGATTAACAGTAAATTACATGTTGAAACTATTTTGAAATAACCTAACCTTTGAGTATCATAATATGTCCACTAAAACTCTGAAACTCTTACTTATAGATATTGTACATAACCAGAAAATATTATAGGTACTAGGTACCACTAATAATACCGGCAGGTTACAGATTAGTACGAAATATCAAATTACCACCAGAGAGAACGCGTAGATAATTTTTAAAAAAATAATAAAATTGGGCAAAGGTAAAAGTAATATAACTAACACCTAGGTCATACTATATATTAATATTAGGTAGGTACAGAGCAACATATCGACATTAATGTCATTGTACAAACGATAATCAATTGTTATTCTGTAAAAAAAATAACCGTCCACTGTTGTTACACAATAATAGTATAACGACATGCTAAATTACATATTACAGTATGTGTTATAAATGGAACCCTGGGGTGTGGACAATTTTACAACCATAAGTTTTTATAGACATTTATTGTCCGAGCATTTCTTGTAGCCGCGACGTCGTAATTTTATCTCGGAACATTATCATGACGTGCCATAGTCATAATAATTACTGTTATATTAGTATATTACTTATCCGCTTATATTATAGCACGCGAACGTCTTAAAACCTATCGACGACAATGAACATAATATAACGCTTTAACAGATGATGTTAGAAAAGGTAGCTTTCGATTTTTACGAGTGAACTATAATGTGCGATTGTTTGTGTAGCGACTTTATTGTGCAGGTGTGTAAATAGCAAAGTAATTATTACTAATTAGTAACGAACTATTCGAAGGGAAAATCCTTAATTTGTATGTTACAATATTATTACCATAATGAAAATTATTTGCTACTCTTCCGAAAATAAAATAACGATTTTGATAATATTTATTAGACCGTAGAGCAACGTATCTTTATACATATTATATTGGAAAATATCTGCTATATCGCGCATATAACATAGAATATTAGAATATATTATTAAATTATGAATTATGAATTATGTTGATCCACTAATAAATATTTTCGAAAGTGTTAAATTTAATTATTTAATACATTATACTATCTACTATTTTTTGTCGTCATTAACATCCTATATATTAATGTTTTTAATAAATTAAATAAATATCAAGTTTAGATTTTCAAATGATAATCCTTGTATTTTAATGAGATATTAAAATATAATTTTATTAGAAAATATAAATTAATGTACCTAATGATAATATTTTACTGATGTCTTTTACATTCTTTGAACAATAATTAACGATAAAACTGAAACAAATAAGGAAAATCGCAATCTACCAGCGTGTAATTATACAAATTTCTTGCTCCAGGATCATAATATAAAAAAAAAACTTTTAAGTACCTATTATTTTTATTAGTTTAATAACTATTATTATGTTATTTGAAATGTGATAATTAAAAAATTACACTTTTTTATGAATAAATATGAAGGCGTATACGCTGGATTAGTATTGACACGTTAATAATAAAAAAACCTAAAATGTTATCTTTTAAATTATCTAAAGTGCTGTAGGTACATTAGATCCCTAGATGATGTATATAACAACACCAAAACTTCATCATTCCGGGAAATCATTTTTTGCGTTTCGAGTTTATAAAGTTAAAAATCTGCTCATATTTCTGATAGGCATTGGAAAGTTGCCTACGTATACAATAAGACATTAGATATTAAGTATATTACGATTGTAATGCAATGTTCTCAAACACTAGGGATAGGTACCAAAGCTAGACAAGACAAAAGTGTAATTAAGTTCAAATATATTTATAAAAGTGTATAATATTAGATGCTTTATTAAATATTGTTCGATAGTCAATAATAATACTTAATAGTAACGGATTTCGCAAGTTACTGAGTATATTTTTACGTCAAAACAAATCCATTGTTGGCTATAATAATACAACGAGAATTTATATCTAATTTATATATTAGATAAACACATACAATCACACCACTCGTATTATGCACTCAAACAGCATATTATTTTCATAATTCATTGTTGACGGTTTATGCGCCTTTATTAATTACACCCGAGATAATCGTGTACGAAAACATGACACGTGCTTAGGATAAAATAATATTATTGTATAAGCCAATTTTTGTTTTGCGCGTAAAACTATATCATAATATTCGTTTTTCGAGTTTCATTACCGTTTCACCGCCATTTTTAAAACGGAATAAATTTACATAACTTTGTTGTTTCTGCAAACGTTATAGGATGGTTAGGTTAGTAGGTTAGGAGGTATATAATACCTGGTTGACGACTCTTCAACGAAAAAACATATCCATATAGTAGGTATATAATTAATATACTTCCGACCTTCAACCAACATATAGGTAGATAGTTGGTAGTAAATAGTAATACTATAATGATTATTATGATAAAAGACAGGATTTATATTCTCTAAAATACCTTATAATATCCTCATTATATTCTCTTAAAAATTTAAAAATATGCAAAATTATGCAAAAATAATCATTAAACATCAATATATTATGCTTTAAATTTTAATATGCATTTTTTTAAATTTTTTTTGTCCACTATTAAAACAATGATTTATTATTGAATGGTTCTATCCATTGTGTTAATAGGTTTTTAAAATTGGCTGACTTTTTTAATTTGTTAATTTTAAAAATTAGCTACCATGTTTACGGTTTAGTGAACGGTACCGGACACTTATGATACAACTGCGTATTTTATTTTTATCAAAATCATAAAAAAAAAAATTTGGAAATGTTCAAAAATAAATTTACCGCGACCGTAATATTAAAAAAAAAAATGAATATTTTTTCTCACAATTTACAAAATATTCCAAAATATGCTAAATGGGTTAATATTCTCAAATATGCAAAAAAAAAACTCAGAATGAACGAACCACCACATTTTTTACTCTCATAAGACTGCATAGATCCAGTAACGGATATGTAAAAATATAAATCCGGTCTTTAATTATGATAATTTTAAACACTTAAGACGACTAGATATTGGCTGAAATACATAATAAATTAAACCATGGTCTGTGACAAATATACCTAGACCTAGGTATAATATAAGATATTACAATATTTTAAAACTAGT